CATTTTATACTCTTAATACCTTTTTTCTTCATGACACTTTGTCTCAAGGTTTAAAAAATCTCAACATTATTGTCAAAAACAACACTGTGGCACACAAAAATACAGACAGTTCTCCTGCTTATGAGATATGGACCTTGTTATAAAATATTTATCTCCTAGTTGAGAGATTCTAAGTGCACAATAATGAGATGGATATAATAATAAACATCTCCAATTTTTGTTTAATATTTTTAGTGAATGCAATGTGCTACCATAGTAGTTTCAAATTCATACAGATATGTGAGGTTAGAGGGAAGCGCGGTGGTGCAGTGGTTAGCACTGCCTCACAGCAAGAAGGTCGTGGGTTCAAACCCTGGTTGCCCCGGCCTTTCTGTGTGGAGTTTGCATGTTCTCTCCGGGTACTCTGGCGTCTTCCCACCATCCAAAGACATGCAGGCTAGATTAATTGGTGTGTCCAAAATTGTATTTAGGTGTGAGTGGTTGTCTGTCTATGTGTGGCCCCGCGATGGACTGGCGACCTGTCCAGGGTATACCCCGCCTTTCGCCCAATGTAAGCTGGGATTGGCTCCAGCCCCCCGCGACCCTGTATGCAGCCTAAGCGGTTGACGATGGATGAGGGGTTAGAGGGTGGTGGATGAAAATTACCTAAGGTTTTGGAAAAATCACAGTAAAGGGACTAACAGACAGGCCAACACAACTAATATGCTTGTATTTATACCCGTTCTCAGATCTCTTCTTTTCTCTTTCTCTCTGTAGTCCTACCATCCTGTACCCAGACAAGTTCAAAGAGCATCCAGTGAAAAACCCTACACCTACACCCAAGCGAAGGCGGGCGGCTCACTCTTCTGACGAGTCAGAAGAAGAGTCAGAAGACGAGGAAGACGAAGAGGAAGAAGAAGAGGAAGAGTCTGAGGAAGAAGCTCCCCCCCGTAAGAGGTAGGTGTAGAAAATATTATCTGTACTTTGTATTAGTGGTCGAACGGTATTGGTGTTTTCAATTGCATATGCCAATATTTAGAGAGCAGGGCAGCCGATGGCGGATAAATAATACTAATATCAAAACAGAGAAAAGTCTTGTATTATTCCATGCAGAGTACAATCTAATATACACGGTTATCTTAGCCAGTAACGTGTTGTTTTAGATGGATTTTTGAATGAAATAAAAAAATACATTGAGTTATGCTGTAGACTTAAGAACGTGACTGGTGTTTTAGGGAGAGTGGGTTACAGTTTGTCAGGAGTGACGTCATACAGCTGCATTTTACACTCCACATTATAACAATATATATTTAACGCTTGCCATTAATAGTTTTTGATTACATGATTACCGTTTAAATAAATAAATGTATAGTATGGAGTGCAGGCTTTACACTTTTTTTTTTTCTTTTCTCAGTGACGCTATTTTCCAATAGTGTGTGTGTGTGTGTGTTGAATTATGCTCCTTTTACTTAAGTAACAGCTGCCTGTTCAAATTACTCTTAGGCAATCTCAGAAGAGGCCTCCACCCAAGGCCCGCCGTCCTCCACCACCCAAGAAATCTCAGAGCGCAAGTTCGTCAAAAGCTAAAGCCCGGGGGCGCCCCCTCGCAAAGAAGTCTCCAGCTAAGAAATCTGTCTCTCCAGCCAAGAAAACGGTGTCTTCAGCCAAGAGATCGACAGGGAAACAGTCAGCCTCTAAGAAGGAATCAACGCCACCACCTAAAGCCACACCTGTCAAGAGAGGAGCTCCTGCAAGAAAGCCCAAAACACCAGCTGTTAAAAAGCTAACCAAAAGGGGGTCCAAGCAACCTGTGTCCAGAGATTCATCCCCTGAGGAGGCTGTGGTCACAAAGGAGACGTCAAGGAGCGGGTCGAAGCGATCAAAACCCGAAGAGTCATCCCATGAAGAGCCTGCAGTTAAAAAGCCAGCGACCAAAAGTGGGTCCAGGCGGCACGAGAATGAAGAGTCATCCCCTAAAGCGCCTGTAGTCAAAAGGGGGGCGAAGAGCAAGAAGCAGTCCACTCGTAAGTCCAAGAGGGGGAAATACTGAGCCCAGGATAGCCTTCCATGGACTGGGCCGCTCTGAATATGCAGCGGTCTGCCGCTTTGTTTCAGTGCGCTCTCTCTCTCATTCTCTTTTTATGATTGTTTTCACCCTTTTTAATGGGGCAGTAGGTTTTTTTATTTTTATTTTGTAGAATTAGAACGTTATCCTACCAGTTAAGTTAACTGTACATTGAGAGTTTCTGAATTTCCTTTTTAATCACCATGTGTAGAAAAAGCTCAGTTAGTGTTGCCGTTTAAACAGATGTATGACCAGCTGCCAGGTCGGGAAAGCATAGCAAGATCCGACATACTGTAACTAGAGCCACGTAGTGACTTCTGTTTTTATATCTGTTCCTCATCCAGTCTTTAGGTGATGGCAGCACATGTTCCTAATATCACGTTAAGTGAAATATCAGTGTTTTGAAGGGATGAAAACAATATCCATTTTTAAGTTAAAATGTGGGTTGAAAAGTTTGACCAGTTACTAATGATATTAATATTTTATAAAACAGATTTTAAGGTTATTGTCCTGAGTTCTGGGATAAAACTACAGTATTTTGGCCATGCGGTACTGCAGCAGAATCTGCATTTTTATCCATATTTGTCCTTATATAATTTTATTATTAACGATGATTTGTTTATTTAAAACACAAAATTGCCCCCCAAAAACCTGCCAGGTTGAGGACTTCAGAGGATAAAACACTATGTTAGTATTAATTTCAAACATTTGGGGGAAAGTGTCGTCTTTTTTTATTTTGTTTTGGGGTTTTTTTTTGTGTGTGTGTGTGTGTGTGTGTGTGTGTGTGTGTGTAAACAAGCATATACATAAATTGATTTTATTGCTTCACAGCTGTAATTCAGTACCAAACTGTATGAAATGCGTGTTGTGAATAAGAAAAAGGAGGATAATAGCTCATACATACCCTGCATGCATGTATTCCTTGTGTTGTTAAGCTTTTTTTCCAAGTCATTAATAAAATGGCTATATTTGTAAATTCTTGCTGGGGGGTGTTTATGTTTTATTATATTATTTTAGCATACAGGGGACAAAATTAAAAACTAACAGCACATTTCCCTTGTTCCAGAACATAAACTAGTATTTTGACAGTTGTCTGTCATAAATTTATAAGTTTGTGGGTTTCTTTGTTCTGCACAAAACAACACAGTATTGTATAATCATGCCACAGGGCAACGCTTCCCAACTGGGGTTTGTTAGGACAAAATGATTAACTAAATGGTTTAAATGATTCACCTGATTTAACTGTCACTTCCTGAGGGTTAACCGGAACATTATCAACAACAACAAAACTAAGGGGATTTCTTTATGATAAATCATCAAAAAAGAGCACATATCATTTTTACAGCCTTCTTGTTTAAAGTGGAGAATATTATTCTACGTTTTTGATTTCTTGAGCAAGTTATGACTTTTGAATTACATTTTTTGAGGGCGATACTTTGCCACTTTTCTTAAATGAATTGATTACTTTAATTTCTGCAAGTTTGTATCAAATGTTGAAACCAAATACTATATTGCCTACATGTGGGAGAGGTATAAGGGGCATGTGTAGTGGTGGAAAGTAATTACATTTATTCAAGTATGATCCATCTAATATGCTACTTTCTACTTCTACTCCACTTTATGTCAGTAACTACTGTACTTTGTACTCCCTTTCATTTATCTGACATCTATAGTTACTAGTTACTCTTCAGGTTGATTTTATGTTTATTTGACAGGGACAACGGGGGTGGTGATGGTGCAGTAGATAAGACACATGCCTTTGGTGTGAGAGAGGGACCCGGGTTCAATTCCCCATTCTGACCCATCCACCAATGTGTCCCTGAGCAAGACACTTAACCCGTAGTTGTTCTAGAGGGATGCGACCTCTGACATATATAGCAATTGTAAGTCGCTTTGGATAAAAGCATGAGCTAAATGAATTAATGTAATGTAAGAGCGCGCAGTACATGCATTGTACCAGACATAGCTCAAAGCTAATTCTCTTCTGCCGTCCCTGGGCAGGTGACCATGGTACACAGAACATAACCATTAAAGATTAATAATAAATCCAAACCTTAAATTTCATAAAAAGCCGGACAAATAAAATCAAACCACATGTAATAGACTAAAAAGCAATAAATACCCATTTAAAACACAACATCAACAATCCCAATGCAACAATACACAATCCATCAGTACCGATAATGGCCACATTCAGTGTGGCACAGCTCAATGACTACAGTGATTAAGATTCCCAACCCTTTTTGGTTTGTGGCACCTCACAACAAAGCAGTGTCTGGTTGGGGGTTGGGTCAGCTTTATTTCCTCTCTAAACTTCACAGAGGATTTCGTTTAAATATTAAATATATTGTTTAAGGCTTTAACAGGTAAAAATGTCCAATTTTTTTGAAAAAGCTATAGATTATAGAAAACTCAAAAAGATAAATACAATTTTAAATAGCAAAACGTTTTTTTTATTCTTTTCCACCCTATTAATCATTTCATGACCCCCGAACTTATCTCGTGACCCTTGGGAGAGAAGTTAGAAAACACTGGGTTAAACTACTAAACTCAACTACTGATCTGTAAGTAAAGTTATCCTGGCCTCCAGAAGCTACAATAGTACAGTGCTGCTTACACATTGAGGCATCAGCATAATATAAAATAATAATGTCAAAGGGGGCCTTTTTCTGTGGAACAAGAACTTTTCCCTCTAATACATTTTGAATTCAGGACTTTGACTTGGAGTAGAGTATTTTACCTTTTGACATCAGTCCTTTCACTTACGTAAGTTTCTGAATACTTTCCCACCGCTTGGCGTGACGTCAGGTTGCGCAATGACCAGGAATGCGTTGAGCTACAAAAAAAAAAAAAAGTGTGGATAGAGACAGCAGCAGAGAGAGGGGTGGAGTGAAGTTTCATATACCCCTTCTCATCCTCCTTTTAAGCGTCCTACTCGGGTTCCTATTCCCCGAGCCCCGCCTCGGACCAGCAGCACACCTGGACCACCAAGCGGCAGCAGCAGGTGAGGGCGAGGAGGACCCTGACTGTCAAACGCGGCGTGTGAAGAAGACACAGACTGGGTGGAGGAGGTGGAGGCTCAGACTCTAAAAAGTGAGTTTCTGTGGTTTTAAAGTCTCTTGACAACCTTCGAACTGAGCTCAGATTGAGACGCTCTTGTGTAGGCTTACTGTTTGCTTCCACGGGGCGGAAACGCTCACGAAGTTTGTCATTTTACCTCACTGATTTTGGATTTCGTCCACGGCTCGAGACTTGGCTGTACGGACACGCGCACTAAAACAGAAACTTCCCCGTGTATTAGCAACGATCTTGAGGCTTTTACGGCGACCTGCAAAACGATGCACAGGCGCAAATTAAACCAAGGCCTGTGTCAGAATTAACAGATCACGTCCCTACATTGGACAACACTGTGCCAAACTTATATTTTTAACCCTCCTATAGCACTATTGCGATTGAGTTTCCGAAATGTGTGCATACATGTTTCGACAGTTTTTTAGATGAATTTTAGTGTCCTTTTGCTTTTGGGTGTAAAATGTTGCTGCTGTCTGGCTTTACAGAAATAAACAGGCAGCATGGGTGAGGCACCAGTCAGAGAGGACGGTGCAGTGACACGATCAGCAGAGGTAACTCTCATTAATGTCTTTGCCTGTGTGCATACGTGTGTGTGTGTGTTTGTTTTGCCTCAACTCTTTTCTTTATTGTGAAGTATGTGGGCTCATTTCCTGTGGATGACCATTGTTTGGATGACCAGATAGAGCAACTGCACACTCAGCTGAAGTCCCTTAAAGTAAGTCCTCAGCTGTCTTGAGGTTGCTCAAAATGATCAGCACCCCAAAAAGCTTATACCTGTTTAATGGAGCATACAATGCCTAAAAGGTTTGTTGTCTTCAATCAGACATGCAAAAGGAAGATGCCTGTGTCTATAAAATTTTCCATCAAAGGAGTGAAAATATATAATGAGGATGAAACCGTAAGTATGGTGGTTTATCTCTGATGAAAATATTCTGCACATACATAACGATTAAAGTTGAAGATGTAGTTTTAGTCACAGTGGCATCACGGGTTCTTATGTCTGCAGACGCTCCTGATGGCTCATGCCCTACGTAGAGTCTCTCTGTCCACTGCCCGGCCCATCGATGGCCAGTTTGCCTTCGTCTCACACAACCCAGGCAGCACTGATGCCCAACTGTACTGCCATGTCTTTCAAGCTAGGCATGCCAGAGCGGTAAGAAATGACCAGTGGCATTGTTCTTTTATTACAACAAAGGAAAATAGGGCTACTATTATTTACGGTTACTGCTCTGATGACAAAAAGATGACGTACACAATTTTTAGCCCAAATCTTGAACATGGCTATGAAATATCTGTGATTTTGACATTACAGTCCTATTTGTGATGCATCAAAAGGGGCGAATGTGTAATGTATTTTAAAGAGACCTGCGGGTTGGTGTATGAGGAGGGGCTGACAGTTTAAAAATACTGTGACCAAGTCCTTCATAGTTGCACCTAGTTGAACTTTTGCATGTCATTATTTATCACAATCTTCCGAAGCACTTAAAAAAAGTTGCAGTGGCTGTTGAGACAACATAAGTGAAAACACTTGTCTGGGTGCACCATGGGTGTGTGGGTGTATGTCACAATAAACTACAATTTACACAAGAGAGAAACCAGCATTAGATATAATATATAGAATAACTGATCTCATAGTAATGACAGAGACTGAAGCCCTTTCTAGATTCTTACCTCAAACTTAACCAAACTCTTATCTAACTCCAACCATATCTAGTCTTAAATTAACCATTTAACTTCATAAAACGTATGCTCAAAACCAACCTTGCTGTGTAACCATAAGATATTTTGAGTCAGCCCATCTGAGTTTGTGGTGAGGCTTATTCCGAAATAGAGAGAAAAGGATTACTATAACAACAATATATTACCTCTTCACTACACATTACTGTTGGATGTCTGCTGCTTGAATTTGTTAGGGAGCATTTTGACAGCCTAACTATATTTATGTCAATTACGGGTAACTTTAAAATGGACTACAGAAATGTCAAATAAGACTGCTTTGTAACTTAAGAATGTGGTTTACCAAATAACACTATCGAACAGTAAAGACCTAAAGTGTTAGTGCATTGCTCAAAGATTTATTCCATTTGAGTGTAACTGTTCAGTTTTCGGTGTCCACTTTCTCGCCTGCAGGCACAGTTCCTGAACCTGCTACTTTGCCGCTGTTTCCAGCTGTATTACTTGGAGAAGCACCCAGAGGAGGCCCAGAAAGACTCTGTTGACTCAGTGCCTCGTCGCAACCCCTCCCTACTCAACCACGGCTTCCCTCTCAGTGTTAGTGCCCTGGTGTCGTTCAGAAGAGCCCCTTTTCAAGGATTGCTAGGGACTAAGGTTTGCACATTAATGTCTTATATTCTCTCTTACGCTATGTTATTACTTCAATGCCAGTGTTTCCCTTCTAGTTTGCAACTTAATCTACCTGTATTCAAACATTTTGTTTCTCATACCCATCTATTGAAGAATCACAAGTCTGTTGATGACCCGCACAGCAGCCCAGATGAACTCTTCCCCACCTCCTCCCCCTCCCTGGTGCGCAAGAAAGTCATCCGGAGTAAAGGACTGCGCTCTGGGGCTTACCGCTCCTTCACTTTCACACCAGTCAAACAGCGCAGTGTTCAGGAAGGACTGAGTGTGTCAAAAGGTGGGCGAGGTGTTCACAGAGCGCTTTCAAGAGTTAAAGAGTTGATTAGGTAACACAAACCCCTCAGTGTTGGGTGATGGGCAGTCATTCACGGTCTGTTGTGGTATCAGAAGGGAGTTCTTGTAATTTTATACTACTTAATTAGGTGATGGATTATAGTCTTTTCTCACGTGGGTCATAGTGTAGATACATTTTCTTAAAGCACCTTACAGATGTTCATTTGACACATTGAAACAATGGGTTATTTCATCACCACTTTCCTTAGTTCATCATAGTCCTGTTATGTTTAAACCAAACATTTTCTTCACCAAGTTGGGATTATGGTTCCCCATGCAAACAGGTGGAGTAATTTTGGCTTCTTGACCTTTTTAGACCGTAAACATCTCCAAATTCACAATGATTTTTTTTCTTATATGTAAAACAGTAAACGACCAAGACAAGATGGCATTAAGGAGATCCCGCACCCCAAGCTTGGCCGAAACCGAAGAAGCATTGGCTCAAGCTGTCTGGTGTTGGGCTGGCATCGCAACGTGAGTGTCGCTCGTGCATTTAACATATCTCATGGACCGTATTTGCCTTCTCTGGTGCTTATTTGTTCTCGAGTATGATTTTCTAAAGGCGTGTCTTCTGTATTTTAGTGACAGCAGCTACTCCCTGCTTGCAGACGATGTTTTGGGATCTTACCTCCTGTGCCCACATCCTAAAAAGCCTGAATGTGGCTCTCTCATCATTCGCTTGCCCTCTGGCCTGATCACCCACGTCATAGAAAACACTTGTAAAGGGAAATTCCTGCTGAAGGTAATTGTTTTGTCTAGGCAGATTGAATCTTATCAGTGTTTCCCAACCAGGTATATTAATGGCCGCCAAAGTATATTTGGCAACCCGTTTTAGCATTTTGCAGAGAAATGCAAAGAGACACGGATACTTCTGTGCAACCCTAATTGTGATTTTACAGTAATTTTTTCTGTTTATTTGGTTTATCTTTGTGGCAGAAATGCAAGACTGAATTCAGTTCCATACCAGAACTGATTGAATACTACACTGAGACTCAAGATGAGCTGCCATGTCTGCTGAGCTGGGCCAGGGTGAACCACTGTTATGAGTGGGAGGAGAAAACCAGCAAGCAGGCTGTAAATCCACACAGGAGCAGGAAGAAAGCCAAAAGTAAAAAGGAATGGGTTTAAAACCTGGGCACTGGAACTTGTGGCAGCCTCTGAGGATCCAAAATAAGTGACACCTTTTTTTTCTTCTTGTGCACATATCTTACTTTTAAATCACATTTGGTGTTGTGGGGAGCCTTAAGAAACGGGATAACACAATGTACCTATTAAAAGTGCTGCCACTTATGTATATAGTATGCACATCAAGTGGTAATTTCATCACAGGGTACTTATTTGTCAGAGGTGTCATATTTTGTGCTTGCTGCTTCTAATGTTTGTGTATATATATAATTTTTTATTTTTTTAAATATTTTTATTTGTGCCTATAAGGCATCAGTCGAGTTGATTAGTGTTTTTAAGACATGAAACTAACCACCTGAAACTATGGAGTGGACCTGAACACAAAGCGACAACTGTTCTTATTATTCTTGCATCATAAAGATGTTGAACAAATATATTGGATCAGATTTTATTGTTTAATTGAATTTTTATCTTGCTTACACGTTACTCTTTGTGTTTTTAAGACATTAGACCTGGATGATTTCAAGTTGTCTATGTTTAAAAGTGTTTGTGTAACTGGTCATTTGAACTGGTAATGTTGTGTGCAGTTTAATATACGTTGCGTGCTGATTTAATCAGTGGTAAGAAATTCGATCTGCTCTGTGATTTTGGACATAAGATTGTCCGTGATCTTGTTTTCAGGTCCAAAAGTAGTTTGTATCATCTTTTCCACATCAGGCAAGCAAACATTTTCATCTTGTACACCCGCTTGAGATTAAATCACAGGTGTGTTTTGTTTTCTTGGAAAAATATTGTTTTACATCATTTGTGACTCTGTAAAGCACAACACCAACTGTAGATTTAGTATTGAGAAAGATACTACTTTGAGGCTGTGATTTATCAGGCAATTTAAAGGACAGTAGTCTCTAAATCCCATTTAGTTTATTAGGTACACCTGGCTAAAACTGATGCTTTCTAAAACAACAGTCCAGCAATAACATACCTTCAGAAAAGAAAATATCAAACAGTGTAACAAATGTTTAAAAAATGGTTTTTCATGGCACTATTGATAAAATATACACTGACAAGGACACACCAGGCTAAGTTGATATGACAAAATGACTTTAATAACAAAGTGTAATGTTAAAGAGTGGTAGTCAGGATTTGGATTTTAAAAACTACTCTCCTCATTTTTAATGTTAAGTTAGCTAGAAATGGAAGGAAGATGCTAGACAGAGCGATGGATGGAGACACCACATTATCATGAAGGCACTGCATTTTTCTTTTTTGCTAAAAAAAAAAAAATAAATAAAGGAAACATAGTATATACACAAATATAAAACTAGATTGTGTAGTTAAATGTAAAGATGTAAAACATTTAGTTCTATTGCACTTAACTGTTAGCCTGCTAACTTCGACCCATAGCTTCTGTTGGCACTGACAGCTTCGACCTCACTGGGTCCTCATCAAAATGGCCGCCGGTCTGGGTCCGTTTCATCCCCCAACGGTTTGTTTATGGTTGCTAAGCAACTTCAAAACTCCGTGGGAAGAGGACCAGAATGGCAGGGGACCTGTAACTGTACCTGACGCGGACACTCACTACCGTGTCTGGAAGTATTTACACCTCACCTCAGCGTGTTATTTTTTATTTATTTTTTTAAAAATCTTTGAGTATTCCTCTAGTCGTCAGATTTTCCTCAGTAGACTTAAGCAGGCATGAACTGTTAGCAGAGCTTGTCTTCTGACTGTCTGACGTTAGCATGTTAGGTAACGTTAATAAGGATCCTGCTGCAGCTCTGCTCTGTATTCATGTATTTATAAAGCAGAATTGATTTCTATGTGTTAACTACTGCACAAGTCAACTGCTGTGGACTGAATGCTGAGACATGGGGTCAGAGTCAGTGAAAGTGGTGGTCAGGTGCAGGCCCCTGAATGACAGGGAAAAAGCGCTTTGTTCTAAGATGGTGCTGTTCATGGACCTGCACCGCTGTCAGTGTTTCATAGAAAAGCCCGGAGCAGCGGATGAGCCACCCAAGCAGTTCACCTTTGATGGGACCTACTTCATTGATCAAACCACTGAACAGATGTACAACGAGATTGCATATCCTTTAGTTGAGGTATGGTAACACAAGGTAGCTACATTTGTCACATTACTGCTTTATACTAGTCACAAAGCAAACGTTATAAATATTTTAACATATACAGAAATTAACTATTTTGTTTGGTGCAATGCTGAGGATGAATTTAAGAGTCTCACTGCTTAAGGGAAGAAGCTGCTCTGACATCTGGTGGTGCAACAACAGATACATATGTATCTTTTGCTAGATGGCAGCAGGGTGAACATGATGTGGTTGAGGTGGGTACTAACATATCACTGATGCTCAGTAGATGGGTACCAATGACAACCTGCGTGTTTTTAATCACCTGCTGCATAGCCCTCCAGTCCTGGGCTGTGCATGGGATGTGCATGCTCTGGGAACACATTTTGATTCTGTTTTTTGTTGAGTATTTGCAGTCTAGAGATTCAGGCATTACTAAAATAGCACGCTGGTCACTGGACACCCCCAGTCCAACAGTAGGCTATATCTTATTGCGAATGACTTCAGACCTCATTATTTACTTAACAGTCTGCTGTCAGTCACTACAAAGGTCAGCAGGGTGTTGATTCTTTTAAAGAAACCTCAATGATAAGGTTACTTACACCACATTCTTACTTATAATTCAGGGTGTCACTGAGGGATACAATGGCACAATCTTTGCCTATGGACAAACTGGAAGTGGGAAGTCTTTCACCATGCAGGGAGTGTCAGAGCCTGCAGCCCAGAAGGGGGTTATTCCCCGAGCCTTTGAGCACATCTTTGAGAGTATTCAGGTAGGTTTGGCAACTGTTGATAATGGTGCAACAAACACATGTTATGAATTTATAGATTTAAAAAAGTATAAATGTCTCTCCCATTCCAGTGTATAGCTATAACATTGTTCTGTTGGGACAATAGCCTGCATGCTTCAGTCTTGTGGCTCTAGTTCAGGCTTGTCTAAGCTTTGTGTGCTCAGGGAGAATAATTTTACATATGTGTTTATGTGCGCAAGCTAGTGTGCAGAAAATACAAAATTCCTCGTGAGGGCCTCCTACTTGGAGATTTACAATGAAGACATCAGAGACCTTTTGGGAAATGACACCAAACAGAGATTGGAGGTAAGTCTCTTGAGGCACTGTTGTTTCAATAAACAAATCTGGCTATACACTGTAACTTTTTTATTATTGTTGTGTGATAAGTAAAGTTATTATGAAACCTGTTTCTCAGACTAATCCCTGACAGTAAACACTGTGCTTATATTATGTGCACAATACTGTACAAGTTGCCATGGTGACTTAAAAGCACAGTAGTTACACGATTCCTTGAAGTTGAAGGTGTTTGAACAAGGTGACAGTTTTTGATTGTGTGTGTGTTTGTGTGGTTGGTGAATGCTTAGCTGAAAGAGCATCCAGAGCATGGGGTGTATGTGCGGGACCTCTCCATGCACACTGTGCACAGTGTTGGGGAGTGTGAGAAAATCATAGAGCAAGGGTGGAGGAACCGGGCAGTGGGCTATACACTGATGAACAAAGACTCCTCCCGCTCGCACTCCATCTTCACTATTCATTTGGAGATCTGCAACACAGGTGAACTGCTTCTGCTCCAACTTTCCACTGAATTTATATTTCCCTGAATTCCTTGATCATAAATGTGTTGCTTTAAAGATAATGTTAAATTAATTATATGTGAAATTTTGCAAAGTTAGCTAGCATGTTTGTGAACAAAATACCGCCTGATGGCTGCTTGGATCATGCTTTATTAGCCACTTTGGGTAGAGAAATTGCCTTCTCTTTTCTACTTGCATGGATTTTTCCATGCAAGATTTTAAATGTTGGTGCAAAAAGGCATACACAGAATAAGAAAAAACACAGCTAACAATATAATAGTCACATCAGATCTTTTTATATATAGAGCACATTCAAAAACAAATGTTGACTATAAATATAATAAAAACATGAGAATCAGTAAGTATGGCTAAAAGTATTAAAAACACAATATGCATATTGCTCAGAGATCTAATGAACAATGAAAACAGCGTGACAAGCTCTCTCTGCATTAAGACAACCAAAAGTCTCAATTCAGACATGGCTATCAAGACCTAGAAATGTAGTACATGCCAACATTTTCAGTATTTCAGGGTGTTTTTTTCTAAATGAAACACGCAGATACAAACTTTAAAGTTGTATCTTTTCTACATTGTCTTTGTCATCCCGCATTCTCAGATGCAGCTGGACAAGACCGTCTACGAGCTGGTAAGCTCAACCTTGTTGACTTGGCAGGAAGTGAGCGTCAGTCTAAAACCGGTGCTACTGGTGAGCGACTCCGTGAGGCCACCAAGATCAACCTGTCCCTCTCAGCCCTGGGTAACGTCATCTCTGCCCTGGTGGATGGACGCTCCAAATACATCCCCTACCGGGACTCCAAGCTGACCAGACTGCTGCAGGACTCTCTGGGAGGAAACACGCGCACCTTGATGATTGCCTGTCTATCCCCTGCAGACAACAACTATGAGGAAAGCTTGAGCACACTGCGCTATGCCAACCGGGCCAAGAGCATCCAGAACAAGCCTCGTATCAATGAGGACCCAAAGGATGCTCTGCTCCGAGAGTATCAGGAGGAGATCAAGAATTTGCGGGCCCTTATCTCAGACCAGCTAGGCACTGCTAACCTTGCGTGTGAGTAATATATATTGTGACTAGCCTTTTAATATAAATATATTTCTTTTTTAACATTGCCAAATGATTTAAATGCAGATATTGAGAGAGGTTTCATTTGCTTCTTTGTCAAATGTATGGTGGTAATGATTTATTACCAGTCTTGCTCAAAAGAAACTTTTTGTCCTTTTGTTTATCATGCAGCTCTGCTGGCTGGTCAGTTGTCTGAGGTATCCCCTGCTGTTGATTCAAGGCCACAGTCCAGCACCACAGAAACAGAGAAGGAGAAGATTAAAGAGGCAACTACACACTGATGTATCACTTCACATCTCTGCATGCAATGTATAAGAACTAGGTGATTTATTGTTCTGTATTCTCCTCTCTCCACAGGAGTACGAAGAGAGGCTGGCCAAGTTGCAGGCTGAGTACAACGCAGAGCAGGAATCCAAGGCAAAGCTGCAGGAGGACATAGCTGCCCTGCGTTCCTCCTATGAATCCAAGCTGTCAAATCTGGAGAAGGCCAGAGCCAGCAGGGGGAGCTCTGTATCAAAGAATGGTAACAACAAATGCCCTCAACAGAGAACCATGTTACTAGTTTATGAATTAGTTTAGGATCTTCTAATATTATATCAAAAAGCACTAGTTAATGAACACTAATGACAAAGTCTGCACATAAACTTAACATTAACAATGCTCTAGACTGCTTTGTTTATCAGGAGTTCTTGTTATTGTGTCCACTCCCTGTGTACTGACTGACTGTGTGCTGCTTTGAATTGTCTTGCTTACTAGTATCAGCGAGCTCAAACTGTATGACACAAGTCGCTGAGGAAGAACTCTGCCACAACACTGATCCCGTGTGCCACAGTCAAACTGGAGACACTTCCCTGACCGAGGTAGTGTTCGCTAGCCCCATCCTCCATTAAGACTAATCATTCAAAACATGTCATAGTTCCAAAATTAGGTATTATTATTTATTTTTATTTAACCAGCATATTGACAGTGCACAGTTACAAATACGAACACCAAGCACACACACAAGAACAAAGAACAATTAACAAGACCCTTACAATACATAAAC